GGAGGTAGCTGAGTGAATTGTTTGGATATGCTTGCAGAGAGTAGTGAAATTTCTGAATATACAGCTTTATACATTAAAGCTCACTTCATAATCTACATTCACTCTTTGCAACACCTGCAACATCTCTAGCCTTCCAGGAAGGACTAAACACTTATAGAGAGTTCTGTGCCTGTCCCATCTTTTGCTCTCCATCGTGAATTCAAAGAAGCAAGAGGAGGGGGTGCATCAATATGACAAGTGCCGGCAGCTAAACATAAGTATTCGGTGCAAAAGAATGGCCTTTTTCTATTTTCTCGACCAAAAATTTCGAAATGATCGGTCCACGGAAACTAGGCAAAAGAGCTTTTATTAAAAATTGAAGAAATATCATTCTGTTTTGTAGATGCTTCCCCGTTTCCTTCAAAGAACTGTTGCTTGAGGTCACAGCAACAACCGAGCCGAGTGGCTGCATACAGCTCACGGCTCGGCACAGGTGGCTTGTAAGCCAGCTGGTATCGTTTTTTGGGACGAAAAGCAAAGGGGGTTTCGTTTTTGTGACTGAAGAGACACGGAAAATTGGCGACGGCGACCTTTTTTTTAGTCGACGTTTCGTTTTTTGGGGGATTTTGGGGAATTTTTCAGGTTTTTAGAGGAAATTTGGTTGAGGATCAAAGGGGACTTCGTAAAAATTCCCAAAAGTCAAGGGGACTTCGTTTTTTCCATTTTCATCTAGCCACCTCGTGCCGAGCCCTGATACAGCTAGCATTGTCCATACCCTCCGTATTCGTTATCGAATTTGAATTTACCCTATCGATAGTACACAACCTAATGCGCTCCACATTTCCGCTTGGAACTGAGTTATAGATCAGACCAAAATCATCAAACAATAATCCTGAATGCTTCTCCGCTTTATACTCCCGGAAGCACCGTAAGTCTGTCGGCCGCAAAGCTTCCTTCATCGGTTTCGAAGATTTTCTTGTGATTCTTTTGACCATCTTTCAAGTTTTCCATCTAGCTGAATCTACTACCTAGTATGATTCAAGCTTGAAAGCTGCGAAACTGCCGTTGTCTCTGCATCAAATCTTAGGTTCTCTAGGCAAATTTTCGCAACCTTCTCCTCTCCCTTCCTTTTAATTGAAAAAGTTATGGCATCCTTCATACGCAAATTTCGTAAACGTTGAGAAAAGCTAGCACGACATTCTGTGAACAATCGTATTCACTTACACCGGGAAACAGCCTTTTTGGACCCTATGCATTCTGACATCATTGGATGCTCTTTTCTGTGGATGACTCTTTCAAGTTTTTGCAGAAATTGGCGGGAAGGCGCTTCGGCGTCGGCGCCCACCAATGTGGGTAGCGCATTGTTGGTGCACCGGCCGGATTGCATTGGGATCAACCCTGCAGGCACGAACGGCCTACTAGCGCGTTGCTTCCTGAGTACGCGGTATGCAACCGGTGTCGTAGAGTGCCGAGTCTGAGTGCACTGAGTTTTGAGCTCCGTACAATTTCTGCTTTATCACCAACATCACCCTCGCGTGGGACGGGGGGGGGGGGGGGCAAGGAGACAACTCAGACAGTCGAAGGGATACCTCCGAAGGGCAAATGGCGGGGGTCTGCCACTCTTCGTGCTCCGGGGCCCTCCCTCACCCATTTTGGTACTCCGGGGCTCCTCCAAATCTTGTGACGTCACAAGAAGGCGAATGAGACCCCTCCCCAGGGCTCACAAACCTTTGCTCCGAGGGTGCGCCAGATTTGGAGGAGCCCAGTAGCACCAAAATGAGTGAAATGGGAGGGCCCCGGAGCACGAGTGGCAAACACCGCTGGGCAGAGCCCGGGACCCTCCCGTTTTCGCTCCAGAGGTGTCCCTTCGACTGTCTGAGCAAGATTATAAAAGATTAAGGCAGGCGCCGGACAAAGCCGATTAGCCTGGCAGTTTCATGATTGGTCAAATCACTTCTGACCAATCATGTAGCAGCTAAGGGAAAGTCTCGCGTCTGCATAAGTACTTTCTATTGGATGCTACTTTCGTAATTCGTTGTTATATAACCATTCCACCAACACGGTTTTTCAGATCAAGCAAAGCTTAGAAGTTATTAGTCATCACTTTAATCAGCGGTTATCTAAGTCTCACAAGAATGAAGGCAGTTCACTTGGCTAGCTACGAAAGTTGTTCCACACTTGATATTGTTTTGAAGACATCAAACCTCCATTCGTCACTCTTTTTACTACAACGGCTTGTTCCCTCTTCAAATATCATTTTCTTAACAATTCTGAGTGCTTGAGATCGGTCTCATTTTCAAAATCTACATTTTTTATTCATTGATATGGACATTGATGCAGGTTTATACTACTTATCAGGAGGACTTGAAACGCTTCAGTATATTGTGCTGCCAACCTGAGTAGCGCAATATGGTAGGGTTTGCTAACATGTAGGGTGAGCTCAATAACGCTGATATGATCCTTTTATTTCTATTAAGTAAATGACTAGCTTCCAATGTTTGTACTTTGGAGACTTATTTGACCCCGTGACTTAACACAAGCTTGCTTTGCGATAAGTATTTTAGCACGGAAGCAAGTTCAAAAATGTGGGTGAGAAATGAGAAACGAAAAAAGATTCAAGACAAAACTGAGCAAATCATAGTAAAAGCATTTTGACCAATTTTTGCACGTGGGAAATGCAGAGCGATCGAAGAAGTCTCGTGTCAATTGTATGTAGGAAAAAATCTTGGAAAATCAAACAAGGAAAAGGATGTCACTGCGAGCGGCTGACGCCAAATAAAGAAATACGGAAATTTGTAAGTTTCCATAAATTTCCCAAGCTCAATCTTGATTTTCCATGCGCTGTAGGAAGTATATCATCTTTTCATCAAGGTGTAAGCTGTTGCAATCGAAAGGTTATCAATTTTACTATTCGTACTTTGTCAGGGATCACGTGCAAATTTTCTATTGCTATCTATTCAAAACTATGCAGTGCTCAAAGGGAGATAGCTACTTGTCTGTAAACAGCAGCTGCATAACCATTTCAAGTGCAGGCTAATGGAATGGTTAACATTCTCAGGTGCCATGGTTATTGAGGGAAAGCAAATTAGCGCAAATTTGTAGCACTGCGTGAAATTTCCTAGTAACTGTGTGAAGCAGTATGACTAAAAACATCCACCTCTGCTTTCTGATTAAGAAAAAGGAAATAAGGACGCGTCTCTCCATTTTCTAAGTGTAATCAGAAAGGGAGCAGACTATTCAGGAAAGCTATGGTGAAGGGTCACTTTGCGTCTGCCCTCTCCACGCGGCAGAGGGACTGTGACACCCACTGTCTTGAACTGTACGAGTCCCGCCAGATGGCCCATACTCACCGCAGCGAATGCTTTGGTTTTCCCGTGCCACTTCCAGGGAATGGTTAGGGTGGTGCTGGAGCCTGGTCGTTAGATCTTTCTCCGAAAAGCACTTTGCCACATCGCGGCTTCTAGCCGGATCTGGGCCCCAAACACATACAACCATTAGCGTTGTTATCAACAACGCGGCCAAAGGCCGTTCCTCCCTGCCAATTTTTACAAAAAGACTCGAAAGAGTCGATTCCTTCGATTTTACTGCACAAAAAATGTGCTTCTAGGTAACTAGTATGAGTTTTCCAGTCTTTACATTGACTTTTTAACATAATATCTTTAATCTGACGGATTCTTAACAATGAATTCAATTTCAAACCTGAATTGGGCTCTCGCGTACTGATTTTACTTACAATGTCACCATGGTTCAAACTAATCTAAATAAACTGAAAGATCTTAAAACAGTGTATACAAATTTAATACCTTCAGGATAAAAAAAAAGTTTGATCTGTTCAAGGTAATTAAGCCGAAAAGGACGTTAACTTAAATCAGTTCAGACTATTTTACAATTTATTTTCCTCTATTCACTGGGACAGTATAAACCTAGACAACCCAGCCTCCACCAGCTTTATTTTGCCTGTCTCTTAGCGTTATTGGGTCCCGGAAGATGTTCGAGGCCTCAAAGTCCAATTTATGCAACATTTATTCGACCTACCACTGGTTTCATATCGGCCGAATAATCGTCACTAGTCAGTCGAGTGTTTACAAACTTCAGCATCTTTACAGTGATAACGAGCAGCAGTCATCTATAAAAGGTCAGAGCAGTAGGCTTAATCACTTACTGTACCTGACCATCTCGATGTCTGCTGCTGCTGTCTCCTCAAGGAAGGCTGCCCCAAGGGCAAAGGTTGCTCCAAAGATCAAGGCTGCGGGAGCATCAAAGCCTGCTCCTGCTCATCCGACCTATGCTGTCATGGTCGCCGATGCGATTGAACAACTCAAGGAAAGATCTGGCTCATCCAAAACTGCAATACTGAAGTACATGACTCAGCACTACAATCTGGGCGATAATGTCACTATGGTAGGTTAACAGGGCGGCCACTTCAAGGGACAAGACTACCGTATTCCAGATAAATGTCCATGTGAAACGTGCAATCACGCGAGGGTTGGCTAAGGGAGAACTGCAACAAGTTACAGGAATGGGAGCCACGGGAAGCTTCAAGCTTGCTTCTAGTAACAAACAGAAAAATCCAGTTTCACCGAAAGAAAAAAAGGTGCGGGTTTCTTTTCCAGCAAAATTTTCTCATCCTATTCTTTACTCTTCAGCCAATCGCCAAGAAGACCACTGATCAACTCAAAGCTCCCAAAAAGATGGCTATAAAACCCGCGGTTGAGAAGAAGTTGAAGGTTGCTATCAGTGCTGCGGCTAAAACAAAAGCCAAAGAGCCCGCTCAGCCTAAATCCAAAGCGAAGAAGAGCGTGAAAGCTACAACAAAGAAGCCCGTTTCTTCCACCAAGGCTTAACTTTGATCCCATTTACTGACTTCTTCTACTGATTATTAGATGTATATACTTACACTATGAATGAAGGCAAAAAATGATGGTGATCATTCATGGAACATACGAAGCTACTGCTCTATGCCATCATGAGGAGTTTGTAACCTCGAGTTAGTTGATGACAATGCTTGGGCAGTGTTATGGTTAGGCCTCAAAATCAGTTTCGACGTATGATCCCATGTGGTCTATTTGCCTAGACTCTGCCTTCAAGTAAGGCACACGTGCAGTTTTCGCAACCCCTAAAGAATTTGGGTTCACTTAACAGAAACAGAAAACAGAAACAGAAATCGCTAAAGAAATGCACAGTCTACAGCAATGTGATAGAGGGGATGTGTAGAATTTGACGCTCATATCAACCATTGCATCGCCTCTCTTTAGGCCTCGGACAAAATTCACGCTATTTATCGTCGCGATTCCATCGCTACAAGACAACTATTACGAGTTCACTGCAAGCCGATCAGCCTGCATTTCGATTGTGAAACTTTTTCAGCTTGAAATTTTTGAATGTAAAATGAAAGTGAATGAAAATCGCGGCGATTAAATCGCGACGATCAAATCGCGTGAACTCTGTAGGAGGCCTTAAAGGCAGCGTCTTGGCAGATTTTGCATTTCCATCTTTTTGCATGTTTTGGGCCTTCTCGACCCGTAGATCCCGAATCTGAGCTTTGAAAGGATTGAAAAGGCCTTTTTCGGGGCGTTTTTTTCAATATCCAAAAGGCAGCTCGGACGAGAATTTTAAAGGAAAGTCGGGAGGCCCTGGCACGAAGGCCCTGCTGCCTGTAATTTTGGCTTTGTATAGCATGCACAATGCGTTTAAGCGGTTGGGGGGTCCCGCGCCGTCTAGCGGAGAATACTCGTCCGAACACGGTGTTAGGGGAGCGAAAGGAGGAAGGGGAGCGGCGCTTGGGCCGCCCCCTGGCTTGCAGAGTTCACATTTTCGGCGCGGAGTTGCTGTTTTGGTTCAATTGGAGGGCCTCCTATCCATCTGTGTCAAAATCTGAGGTAGGTCAATCTGCCGAGCCGCTGCCTTTAAGGGACCAAAGCCTGACTAAAAAGGTACCCAAAATATCTGATGTTACAGATGTTTCACTTTCAACGCCTAATGAATACGTGGTAATGTTGAAAGCGTGGATCTTCGTTGAACGCTGCCCTTAATTTGATTGTCTTACCAAAATTTGGTTCTTTCCGCTAAACAGCCTTTGAAAATTCAAGGAATTTGTGGCCACGCCATCCTCCAGTTCCAAGACTTGTCTGCCATTGACCCCTCGCTCAGGATGATAGTCGATGGCAGACATCTCGGACATCTCATCATCAGACATCTCCTCATTTCAGCTCGTCTTTTAATTATGCGAGAACCGATGTCGATAACGCAGAAGCAGGAGCATCTTTTGGGGAGCTGCAAAATTTCAATTTCAGTATTACAGAGTGATGTAAGGGAAATGTATGAGCAGATTCTGTAGAATAGTGTATCTGTTCTGAGGAAACGCAGATAGAAGTTTGAAATGATAATTGTTAATCCTAAAAAGCTCTTTCACTAACCTCTTGCTAAACGAGTGCATGCGATGATTGGGGCAGCATAGGCAAATCTCTTAGGCTTTTGCACAGCAATAGTGGCATTAAAGCATTTGGCCCGAACCTCGATCAGCCTCTTGGCCAGCTCCTCTTCCTGTACTGTGATGGTAGTCAAGTCCTTATGATGTCTGTTCCGTCCCTACAAGTGTCGGATCTTAGCACCAATCAATCCAGCAATCCACCGCCAGCTTCTCTGATGGTGGATCAACAAATTAGTGATGGAATAAAATTCACAAAACCCTTAACGACTTTATTTCGAAAAACGCGGATGAATGGAGTTGTTAACAACTTGGCACAAGAGTGTCACATTCTCAGAGTTAGTCCTAGTACGACTCAAATAGCGTGAGATAAAACCTATACTGCCATGGTGGACAATTAGTAAGCTTCCCAATTGTGAAAAATTGTATTGTTTTATTCGATTCAAATCACAGTTACAAAACAAAAAAATACTTGTTATAATTAGCGTAACATTGTCTCAACAAACTTTTTGAGCCCTCTTGCGCAAGTGTTGATTGAGTGAGTGATTACACTATTTCACAAAGTTACCGCATAAATGAAGTAACGATATAAACGTATGCGGAACTACAAAAAATACGATATTTTTTCTTTGGTCTCCCATGCTGCATCGAATGAGATTCTGGTCTTACTGGACCAAAGCAATAATGATTTGGTCACAATGATGGTTACTACCTACATAAAATGCTCCGTAGACCAGCTGATAATGACCAGAAATCCTTTCGGTAAAATGGCAGCATATCTTCGAGTCCTAAAGATGCTCTTTCAAATTTAAAGAAAGAAAAATTTGATTTAGGATTGTCCTAACCTTGAATTTGAGTTGAGAGCAACCAGCGGTGGTTGGAACGTGCATCCCACTACTTGTGACTGTCAATTATGCAGACGCCGCGCGCGACACGCTGGCTCAGATCCACAGAAAACTTGGTTAGCTCACTCGCAGTGCATACTATTCCATCTTTTGCAAAGGTTTTCATACTTTTATATCAATTTTTATTGTTTAGAGGAAGTTTGGCCACAAAATTTGTAAAATAATGAGAGATAGTGGAGGGAAATATGGAAATTACTATCTTTCTGATCTTGAAATGTGTACTTTCTGTTCACAAAATAACCTGTTCCCTAAACATTTCCCATAAGACATTTCCTCTGGCCCTGCTGCCTCTCGCCCGATTACTGTAACGCCGCGTTGCGGCAAGTTTTAATTGACACCCACAAGTAATGGGCGCCCCCCCCCCCCCGTGGTCAGACATCCTTCCATCCAATCCACTCGCAACAGCTCGGAGGTCCTAGAAGATGTCTAATCTAGGTTTTAACCGTTGATTCTTGAGTGCTATAAAGAGGATCGAAAATAGTTTTTCTGAATAGAATTTAACTTGTATTATGTGTTCAAAGAAAATCTATGAATACAGAATCTTAGATATCTCAACTGGGAGAGATGCAATACGACAAAATCAACACATTTTATTAATCGAATAAGTTGTCAAAACTGTTAGCACCGGATTTACTGCTCCTGAAGAGCTTTCCGAGGTGCTCGAACACTTTACGGACCTGTCACTCAAGCGTCAACTCAGTGAAAATGGTCACCGCTTGGATCAAAGGGCTACAAAGCATTTACATAGCCCCTGGCGCCGTAATCAGCACTAATGAATGAGCGCAAATCCGGTGTCGGTCGTTGAGTGGAAAATCGAAAGGGTAAATTGCTGCTGAGGGGTACTTCTGTAAACAATCTAAGGAATGTGTATGCTTATGTTAAAGACGCAAAGGAGACTCACACCTCTGACCTGAGCAATTCTGCGTCTTGCGCCTGCTTCAGAAGTTGTTTATTCGGCCGATGTGTAACGCACCTCTGCTTCGGTGTGCCCTTTGAAATGTAACTCTTGTGATCCGCTAAGATCGGCTTAACGCATCTGTACATTACCGCAGTGGGAGATTCTTAAAACATCTTATACGTTAGTTTTTGATCGAAGCAGTTTATGGAACAGAAGGATTCAATTAAACAGATAAGCAAGAAAACCAAAAATGAAAAAGTTGCACAAAGAGTAAGGAACACTGATCTCGCCGAACATTCTTCCAGCGCTTTTCTCTCATAGCGCTTAGTGCTCTTAATTACATCTATGCTACAGCAATAGTCCAGGGTGTAGACTCTGCTAGCAGTGTGGGACAGAACATTTGGTCAATACAAAAACAGCAAAAATAAGCACGAGAGCTACTCAATTCTGGCTGTATTCTGTGATATAGAGGATAAGACCCCGTAAGCTGCCTAGCAAACAACAGCATGATCGCTGTAAATTAGCTTACTTACTGACTCTTTACTGTTAACTAAATGCCAAAAGCCGAGTGTCAGCCTAGCGTTAGCTGTTTTGTTACGTAGAATAGGAAACCTCGATGTCCACTATAGAAATAAATCTTACTAATGACAAACATTGGGAACAAATTTATGAAGAACCTGCAGGTCAAAAACTACTTACTGTATTTTGATGCTTTACGTGAAAGGATGAATAGATGAAAGCAATAGACGGAACGAGACAGGACGAGCGAGCTTGTGTTTGATAAAGTTTAAAAGTCAGCCTTAGTCCTTTATGGAAGGCGGGAGATGTTGCAAAATAAGCGTGGAACATCGGATTTCTTGCAAAGTTACAGATTCTGAAGCAAGCTTTCATGTATAAGGTTGTATTCTCAGAAATTTCACTACTCTCTTCAAACATAGTATCCAACCAATTTGCTTAGCTACCTCTCACATTGTTCTCTTTATTTTTGTCTATGCTTTTCCGCTTTCCTTGTGCACGCGCGTGTAGGTTTAATGTACAATACCGCTCATAATTCGTCAAAAAAGTCGCCGGACTGCGGCGCACTCTGCCACACTCTGCCGCAGTGCGCCGGAGTGTGGCAGAGTGCGCCGGAGTTTGGCAGAGTGCGCCACACTCCGCCGCAGTGCGCCGGAATGATCGTCAATTTAGCCATATCTCGCTTCAGAATGGACGAATTCTGAATCCGAGGACAACGTTCGATTCAGCTCGACGAGACGCATCATCTTATACATGAAGCTGAACGTCTGCTTGTCTGTTTGTCTGTACGTATGTTCCGAATAGAAAAATCCATTTCTGAACCGATCCGGACCAAACTTGGCACACATACACTTCGGGCCCCGGCGGGTGGCATAGGCTACTTTTCGTCATCGACCGATATCGATTTTATCGATTTTCATCGATTTTTTGCAGAGTTCACCTACGGGGCTGGGAATTTGCATAGGGTGGTAATCGAGCATGGGGATTCCGAATACAATATTAGTTTTCAGGATTATCGATTACTTTTATCGATTTTATCGATTTTTTGCAAAATTTGAGCTACGGGGCTGGGAGTTTGATCGAGCATGAGGATTCCGAATACAACATTAGTTTTCAGAATTATCGATTATTATTTTGGTTGAATTCAGTGTGCTGATAGCAGTATTACCATTGATCTGTCGCTGATGACACATAGACAGTATACTATAGGAGTATGGTAGAGAGCACTCTGATCGAATTTGTTCTAAGATCTGCTCAAGATCACAATACCGCGCACAGAATGTCAAAATTTCCGTGAACTTCGCGGAATTCGGGGATTTCCGCCAAAGTGCGCGATAATCCGGTAAGTTCGCGACATTTCAGGATCCGCGAAACCATGCGAATCACGCAGAGTACGCAACGCCATAACTTCCTGCAGAACGAATATATTCCGAATCCAGAAGCAGCATTGTGTTCAGATCGTCGAGGCAAATATTTTGATATACAGTGTGCTCTCGATATTCCATTTCCAGTTTTTTCGAATTTTTTCTGTGGAGGTCTTTTTGCAAGGATGTAACGCAGCGTCTGTGTAACATAAAAGATTCCAGTAAGCACTGTTTGATAGTACTGTCTTTGTAAGTTATCGTTCGTTCAAGAGTAGCTGCAGACTGTCTCCCAAAAGAGATAGAAGCGTTGGTGAATTTTGGAAAAATCACGCGTTTCTAAATTCTACTCGCCGTAACTTCCTTCGGAATGAACATATTCTGAATCCGAAGAAAGCTTTGTGTTCAGTTTATTAAGGCAAGTCTTTCGATATACAGCATATCCTTGATATTCCGATTTCAATATTCTCAAATCTTTCTGTAGACGTCTTTTCGTGAAGGTGTAAAGCAGCGCGCATCGCCCCTAGTAGACTCCAGTAAGGACCTTTCGATAGTACTTTTTCTGTATATTACGCAGCGCTAGAAACTAGTCACAGACATCTTTCCATAGGAGTTAGAAGGGCTGGTGAATTCTGGAAAAATCGTGTCGTTCTAAATTTTTCTCAACGTAACTCTAAAATATGAAGCTCTCTTGCTAAGCAGATGTGATTTTCGTAATCAACAGGTCGGATAACCCTTATAAGCAAGTTTTCCAAGGTGTTTGAGTAATTTCATTTTTTCTCGTTTTACGCTCTGAAGCTGGCCGATGGATTTTGGTCAAAATGTTCATGCTCTTAAATTGTAAGGAAACTTCGCTTATAGAGGTTTTCGAACACGCTCTTTACGAAAATCGTGGTCTTTGAGGATTATAGGGTCTTCTTGGAGAGATACGATGAGGTGACTGTAACTGCATCACGAAAGCTCGTAACTTCGCCTCCATCTCTCACGTGTCTGTCAAAGAACCTGC